AAGAATCCCTCACGTGGGACTTGGAGCACAAGGTCAGTATTGCATTTAAGATTAGTTTTCCTCCTTCCTGCAGGGCCAGTCTATTTAGTGAGCTCTGAAGGCCTGTATCTTGTTACTGCATCAAGGCTGTGACCATAGCTAGCTGCTGGCTAAAGCCCAAGCACCTTGCACTCACTGCACAGCCCATTAACCCTTGTCATCCCAAACCAACACTGCTAGCAAAGCACCAAAGTTCAGACCCATTTCCACAGCCTTTGTTTTGTATCCATGGTTTTATCATTTGAGGAAAAGACACAAGGAACCCATGCAGGCTGTGAGATTCCATCTTAACACCATGCCTTTGCCAAAGTTTCTGTTGACCATTTCTTTTCCCTTCTCAGCAGAAGGCCTTGTTTGCAAAGTGCCTTTGGGACATATGGTTGTTTACAGTTAATGTCGTCTCACTTAAAAGCAGGGACCCTTACAGTGATTTTGGTCACTAACAAACATGTCCTGTTCCAGAGCCTAAGGACATCCATCCAGAGTGAAATCTGGAAAAAGGACTAGTTTTACCTAGATGTGAATCTCTAGTTTTCCATCTGCGCTTGAAACACTTCCAAATACAGTTACAGGATGTGGCATATCTGACTTTGCTACTTAAAAAAAGGAAGATTCTACTTTTTGCTGCAAGCACACAGTGTTCAGAACTGGTTCACAGGTGCTCAGTAACAGTGAATCCAATCGGCCAGAAATCTCTTCTGGGAGAACTCTTTCAGATGACTGATGAAGATTAAATATTCTTCTACTCCTGGCACACCCTCTTCCCCAAAGATATGTTAAAGAAGTCTCCATGTATGCCTCTGAGGGTAGACAGAAAACAGCAGTTTGACATCCGCATGTTTGAACCTGAACAGCTTTTTGCTACTTGCTGCTCAGCACAAAAAACACACGTAAGCTGCAGTCCCATCTAGCACTTTATATTGACTTCACCTTTAGTGAGGAAGAAGGGCTGTACGGACACAGACATACCTTCATCAAATCAACAAGAGCACACTCCCTGGAACCATGATAAAAAACAGAGATAAAATATAAATCCCATAGGTGGGGTAGAAAAATATCTCCCCACTGTGGTTCTTTAAGGCAGGCTCCAAATTCCTTTCTCCCCATCATCACTTCAGCAGACAGTCTTTTACATCATTCGTGGCTTTCAGTGTCTTCAGTCTGCACCCGCAACAGATACCAGCTGAACCTTCTGGAGGTTTTGTGTCTGGTACTATCCAAGTGAAGAATGAGGCCAAAATGCAGGATGCACCAGCAACAAGGGAACTACTTCTGCACACAGCCTAGCTCAACTGGTCAATTATTCAAGATAAAATCTCAAAGTAGTTCCTTTACTGTATGTACAAAGAGGCAGAACAGCAGAAAAAATTTTAAATGTATATTCAGGGCTTGAAATTACTATAATTACCTGATGAATTGCAATGGCTTTATCGCATTCATGCATTTAAGGATCTACCTTCTGTTTACAGACAGGCTCAGATCCTAGAAAAGCCCTCGCCATATATAAGGGGCCTATGATATCTACTTAAACACATTTCCAGGTCTGTGATGTCTTACAATAGAGCAAGAACTACAGCAGCACTCAGCTGAGACAGAAAAGTTGTCCAAAAGTGTTAGCAAGTTATAATCAAGTGCCACACTTCGGTTTTTACAGTAACTACAACCCTTCCTCACTTGTCAGATACTGCAAGCTCAAAGCAATGAGGAAGAACAAGGAGAACACTGCCCCTTGGTGGAAAAAAAAGGATAGGAAACATTTGTAACTGTTCCAAGTAAAACTTTCTACAACGTTTCATTTACCCCATCCCAAGGGAATTTCCTAGCATCATGGCTAGGGCAACTCCGTCAGCGCCACAGAGAATGCTGTACAGAACATGCCCTCTCTCTGACCAGCACAGCACAGGGCTGCCTTGCAGCATGCTGCGCAGCAAAGGTGTGCTTCTTCCTCTCCCTCAAGTGCCACCTTGCTACCTACCTAGAATTCCATAAAAGCCAAAAGGCAAGAGAAAGCTACTCCCTTTTTCAGTTGTGTATGAAGACATCCATTAAGGATATCATGGAAGTCAAACTGAAGTTCAGATTTGCCTCCCTGCTATTCTTCTCAAATCCTCATCTTTCATCCCATGCCAGGAATTACATTTTAAACTTAAAGAAAAAAAAATAAGCAACTTTAAATTTACATTTTCAGTTCTTGCAGAGCTCCTACTGCAGTGTGTACCCAAGACAACAAATCATTTTGATACATTCGTTGTTTCTTTGCTTCCGAGCTGAAGCTGAAACACTGTTCCATAGCCACCTGTAGCTCTTCCTCAGAAGGGTTAAACAGCAGCACACAGAACTAGCCGAAATCAAGAGACTTTTTAAACAAGCAGCATGAAACAGCAACATGTCAGCAACATGTTAAAGCAGCAACCACACAGTTCAGTGGTAAGATTTCTGTAGCACATCCCTACTCAGACAAGTACTATTCTATTATAGTCTGATTCTGTTCTTGCAGTCAGATCTTTTCTACATTGCCCTGGAAAAAGGGAAATATAATTCTCGTTTCTAAGAAGGGGAAAATGGAAGACCCAGAAAACTACAGACCAGCCAGTCTCACCTCTGTGCCTGGCAAAATCTTGGAGCGGATTCTCCTGGAAGGCATACTAAGGCACATGAAAAACGACGAGGTAGCTGATGACAGCCAACATGGCCTCACTGAGGGGAAGTCCTGTCTGACCAATTTGGTGGCCATCTATGATGGGGCTACGGAACTGATGGACAGGGCAGAGCAGTTGGTGTCATCTACCTGGACTTGTGCAAACTGTTCAACACTGTCCCACACGACATCCTTGTCTCTAAACTGGAGGGACACCAGTTTGACAGATGGACCACTCGGTGGATAAAGAACTGGCTGGATGGCTGCATGCAGAAAGTTGTGGTCAACATCTCAGTGCTCAACAGGAGAGCAGTAACAAGTGGTGCCCCTCAGGGGTCGGTGTTAGGACTGATTCTGTTCAACATCTTTGTCGACGACATGGACAGTGGGATTGATGCGTCCTCAGCAAATATGCTGATGATACCAAGCTGTGTGGTTCGGTTCATAGGTGGAGGGAAGGAATGGGATCCAGAGGGATCTTGACACAGTTGAGAGGTGGGATAATGCCAGCCTCATGAAGTTCAACCACGTCAAGTGCAAGGTCCTTACACCTGGGATGGGGCAATCCCAGGCACAGCTACAGGTTGGGCAGAGAAGAGATTCAGAGCAGCCCTGCAGAGAAGGACTTGGGGGTGTTGGTCAATGAGAAAATGAACATGAGCCGGCTTCAGCGTGCACTTGAGCCCAAAAACCAACCATGTCCTGGGCTGCATCAAAGGAGCGTAACCAGCAGGTCAAAGGAGGTGATCCTGCCCCTCTACTCTGCTCATGAGACCTCACTTGAAGTATTGTGTGCAGTTCTGCTGTCCTCAACATAAAAAGGACATAGAGCTGTTAACAGGAGCAAGTCCAGAGGAGGCCACAAGGATGATCAGAGGGCTGGAGCACCTCCCATATGAAGACAGGCTGAGAAAGTTGGAGCTGTTCAGCCTGGAGAAGAAAAGGCTGCATGAAGACCTCATAGCAGCCTTCCAGTATCTGAAGGGGGCCTACAAGGATGCTGGAGAGGGACTCTTCACCAGGGACTGCAGTGATAGGACAAGAAGTAATGGGTCAAACTAAAACAGGGGAAGGTCAGGTTAGATAGAAGGAAGAAGTTCCTCCCTGTGAAGGTAGTGAGGCGCTGGAACAGGCTGCCCAGAGAGGTGGAAAAAGGATAGAAGTGACTGCCTCTTCCTCATTTCCAAGAAAGGTATAATTTATTGTTCTTGCAACAAGGAAAGGAGACAGTGCATTCCATTTCCAAGTGCCTTTTATCTGTATACCAAAGGCATTCATGATATTTCACACACTGATGCAAGAGAATTTACCAGCTGCAGTACAGCTGCCAAGATTCTCAAGTATGTATCATTATAAACCCTTAAAACCATTGTGGAAACTGGAAGAAGTCCTGCTATAAAACTAATTTTAGCAGAATAGCTCAACAGATTCATTTGACTTCATCTTGTCCTATCAAAACCCTATGTTAATTTAAATGCTCCACAGAATTTCAGTTTGCAGCACAGTCCTCTGTTTCCTCAGTAGAGCTTACTCTCTGCAATCTTGAGGAAGCTGCTGGATAAAATAAAGGCCCTTGCACGTGTCCTTCACTCAGTATCCCACAAGACTGCTTATACTTATACTGCATGGGTAATTGAACCAGCAGAACAATTTGGGCACAGGTCTTTATATGAAGTCTCAAATGGCTTTGGTCTGTGTCTGTCTTCCAGCTTTTTTAGCCTGATGTTATGTTCCTCTGTGCTGTTAAACCTGTTGTTCAGCAGAAACAAGACGTAATCCCAAGACAAAGATGACTTCAACTGTTTATGACAGCTACCATCCACGGATCTTATTTCACTTTCTTAACTTTAAACACCACCTTTAGAAAATTGCTTCATTCAGAATGACACAAAGGCAGCTGGAGACAAATGAATCAATTCTGACACATTTCATGACCTTTAGGAGCATAACGTCATTTATTAAGTTGTTCTAAACAAAGAAAGTATTCTGGCTAAACACTGGCTCTAAGAGCATTCTGTACAGAACACTACATCTCCCAGGTCACTGCAAAATAGATGAGATACTGTCAGAAAACATACCTCAGATCTAATGCACAGGATGACCAAGTTCACGAATGCAGATCTTTACCATGATTCAGCCCATAGCCTGACTACTTAACTACCTTTGGCAGAAGCCAGAAGTCAAAAAAAACACATTACAACTACAAAAAGGAAATTATGAAACTAGCTACAGAAGATCACAAATGAACACCAAGCCATGCTGATAAGCCTTAGTCTTCTTGTACTGAACTTCCCCCCCCCAACACCACCACACTTTGAAATACCTTTAGGTCACCAGCCTCAGGTTTTTCAGTCTCTGAATCGTCATCTTCCTACAAGACAAGAATTTACAGGATTAAGCTTAAAGAGCAGGCTTTGCAAGTAACTGCACTTACAGCAAAGGGCTGGCATTCAGCAGCCCAGCAGCAGTCCAAGACCCTTTCCACAGAAGGCAGTCTTACCCCACCCACTCATGACCAGAAAACATGTCCTACAGCCAAGGAAAGAAGTGTTTGTTTGGGTTGTGGGCTGGTTTTTGTTTGGGTTTTTTTAGGCAAAAGCATCAGTAACAGGTGTCCCCTGCAAAACTCATGCTGCTCCTGAATGCTCAGAACTAGACAGTAGGAAGCAACAGAACTGTTGAAAAACATATCTGATTATCTGATAATGCTGTCTCTTCCGCTTGTCCCCACCATTTAGTAGTACTTACAGATAAAACAGCATTTGCAAGACCTATTATACTCCCAAGCACACAGCAGCAAGACACACAGGACACAGCTGGCCTGCCACTCCAAACATGCAGGCTTGGCAAGGGTCTGGCATAGCACCACGTTCCAAGGATCGGGTGCTGCCAGCAGACAACACATCTTTGGCTTTTGTATAGTGCCCTTGTAGCCTCCTTTGCAGATGATGTGAGCTCGCACAGAAGGGAACCACTGACAAACATTATTGGTTTCGGGTAACAGACCTCAATTTTTATTTCTACCAAGAAATTTCTGCCCTGTGAGAGCTTGAAATACTGAATGCAGCCTTGTGTCAAATTCTACACCACATGAGAAGCAAGCTCCAGCTTTGGTCCCACATATTAGCTAAGCCTACTGTTCCACTACCCTAGGAGCTACTTCACTGGGAAACCTAGAGCTACCTGTGTTTCTAGGAATACATACTCTGGGTTCAAAACAAGTCTGAGGAGCAGAAAACATTTTTCATGCTCACACAACTCAGCAGAACAGTTTTTCTTCCAAACTTTGCCACAAATTTCAACTTTGTCTCCAAAACAAGAACTTGGCATTACAGCTTTTTTTCCTACCCCCCCCCCCCCCCCTTTTTGAAGAATGTGATGATTACATGCAACTGAAAGGAACAGTTTACAATGAAATGTGCTCATGTGACCACGAGCAAGTTCTGCCAAGGCAAGCTACAGATTAACCACACAATGCCGGTAAGTTTTAATTGCCCTAATTAACATGCCTATCTCACTGAGACAAACTCCTTCACTTCAGCTACTATACAGCTTACCTTTCTGAAAGATGCACTTACGCCAATAATTTAGACTTAACTGTCAAAGTTTAATAACAATAAGCTTATAATTAGAAAAGAACCACAGAATCAAGTAACTTGGTGCTTATCAGAAATGAGATTTCCCTCCCTTCCACAGTCCCACCTATATTATAAACATAAAAGTAATTTTCAACAAAGCAACAATAGGTCAAACCATACATGTTATAGACAGGTAACTAAACCAGCTCCCCAGGCCTCCTAACCTAGCAGGGATATCACTGAAACAACTATCAACAAAGAGACATTGCTGAGAACTGCCTCTGAAAAAGACAGGCTTTTCAATCACTGTTAAGGTAAATAATATAAACATACAGTTGTTTAGATAAAAGCCCAGGACAACCTGAGTGCAACTTCCACTGCTTTCCAAAAACAACTCATAACCAGTATTAGCAACCAGCACAAGCAGTATCAAGGAAGGTCTCAATTCTGGTCAAAGAAAACTTAATGCAAAAAAACCAAACTTCGCTCTCCTGCAACAAGCCAGAGGGAGGGCACTCCATGTAACCTTCACAGATTTGTACAGTAACCACAAATACACGTAAGATCCACTGCCTAAAACGAGTGACTCGATTGACTGCCATTACTTGAACAGCAACTTGTACCTCCTAGATAATGGACACTGCAACTCGCACTCAAAATTGTGTGTGCAGTAAAGGCTACTCTATTTACATGCCCATTTGTCGATGCTAACTAAACACAGCTGATCTTGAGCACACCTACCACTTTCTTTAAAGTGGTCTCATTGAAGAAGGGTCTAGAAATTTGGGATGTAAAAAAAAAATCTCTAAGGACGTAAAGAAGTTTTACTACTTTGCTAAGCCAGATGCCAGGGGCAGCCCCCAAATGCTATCACTTGCACCTTCTCCAGTTAGGAACAGAACAAAGCCAAAAGCAAGAACAAGAGACAAACTTCTTGTCTGCTACTTTGGAAAACAGACTGAAGAAACAGTGAGTGTCTCATAAGAGACCAACCTAATGAAGTAAATTTCGACCTAATGAAGTAAATTTCAATGAGGAAAGGTTATCATACCACAGACCTGTTATTTTCTAGCTACATGGTAGGGGAAAGAACTAGAGCAGGGGCAAGATAACACATTCTTAATGTGGTGGTAAGCAAAAATTTAATGATAATGAAAGGAAAAAAGAACCCTCCCCAGACTTACTGTTTTGCTGTTACAGACACATGACAGAATTATATACCTTTTTATGTGTTACTGCTGCACTCGCAGGCAGAGGTACATGCCCTGTCTCACAATACATCAGTTATCTCAGTATTTAGGTGATGTTAAACACATGCCATACACCCAGATGGGATGCTGTTACATCAGGGTAACCTGATGTAGTGGGTGGGTTGAGTTACACACCAAAGAATATCTTTAAAAAAAATCACAGAACTTTATTCTTTTCAATCCTCCAGCTAACCATGCACCAGTGTGTTCCTCTTAAAAGATCATACTATATGACATATACTATGTTAACTGCACTTATTGAGCAATTTTATTTTGGTGTGGCTGTTGACTCTTTCCAGCCTTTTTTCCCCATAAGAGACAAATGTCATCAACACAGTTAGTAACAAGCAACAAAGACTGCACCAAGCTGCTGGTAGGTTTCAAAGCAAATGCTTTCTATTTGAAAGCAAAGTGAACAAAGTATTTGGACAGTGCTGAAACCCACCCGCACTGTCAGGTATTCGAGGTTCCATTATGGGTTGCAACTCGGGGGCTTTCTTTAGAAAGAAATAAACCTCTGCAACGCACGAAAGGCATCAGGGCAAGCTCTCGAAGCACACAGGTACTTACTGACTGCCTGCTGTTCTCATCATCCTCTTCTTCATATCCGTCCTCATCACCATCCAGGCGGGTGAAGTCATCATCTCCGTACCCAACTGAGACCAGCCCTCCTTTCTCTCCTACGGAGAAAAAGTTAAACCATGAGGAATGAGCAGGCGGCAAGGGGCAACGAGCGAGGCCTTCACTTTACAGCGGAATGGGGCGGGCCGGCGCCTTCCCCAGCCCCCTCCCCGCCCTCACCCGTAGCCGCTCCCCCATCGCTTCCCGCCGTCCCAGCCTCGCTGTCCGACTCTGGGTCCGAATCCTCAGCGTAAACCGCCAACGACGACAAGACGCTCCGCTTAGCCGCCGCCATCTTCCCCCCCCCTCCGAGGCCGTACTTCCGGCGGGCGGAGATGGCGCGCTCTCGTAGCACCGCCGCCCTCCTTCCGCCTGAGGCGGCCTCATGTTCAGCTGGGAGAGCTCCGGCGTCCGCTCGCGGCGGGAGGCGCAAACCGGTGGGCGCGGCGGCGGGGCTGCGGTAGGGCAGGGAGAGGAGGGGGAAAGGTGAGCTCTGGCCCTTTAAGGAGTGGCTGACGTCATCGCACGGCGCCGCTACAGCAGCTGTCGGATCCTGATCAAGTGTGCGGGGTTGGGGCGCGGGTGGGGGTGTCTGGTTGTGAGGGGGCGGAAGGATTCCCTTGGGAAAAGGAGGTGGGAGGCCAGCAAAGAGGAGGTGTTGTTCTCCGACACCAGCCCTCACCCCCCCCCCGTAGCTGCGGGTGCGGGCGGGTGTGGGGGGCAGTGAGGCCCCACCACCACTATGGCCCTGCAGCTGTACCTCATGGTACCTTGTCGGGGTGGTTGTCCCACAATAAACCATATTGGGGTTTCCTCTATTGGCGGGGCCTAGATGACATTCTTGGGAGAGGCCTCCAAAGCAGAGAGGAGCCTGGCAGGGCAAACATGGGGGAAGTCATGCAAACGGCTGCAGATGGGGCAGGCTGTGGGCGCAGGAGGGTGGCAGTGCTGGGCTTTAGCTCTGGTTTCTGTCACCGTTCACAGCTTCTCCAGGATGAGTGGTGAGGCTCCCCCAGGCCTGGAAGGCAGGGTTCGAAAAACACTGCAAAGAGTCTTCGGGTTTGAGTCCTTCAAGACTTCCCTGCAGGAAAGCGCAACTATGACTGTGGCGAGAGGTGAGGCCCAGCATCAGAAAGATGTGGAACATGTCTGCCTTTTCATCTTCTTGGGGGGGTGATCCTGCAAGAGTTGGTATCGTGCTTGTTTTGAGGAGACACATCACCTGGACTGTGCAGGACCTCCAAGCACTCCTCTGCTCTGAAATCATTTCAGTGGCACAGAGCACAAGCCTGTGCTGCCCATCAGCTCTCCAACCATGGCTCTGCACTGCCTGTTTTCCCTCGCATTTGTAACACCACTAGTGCATCAACCCGGAAATGTGAAGTGCTAAAGTGCTATTGTTGACATTTCCTCTGGAGGCATCTGCCAGCATGCTTGTGGTCAGATAAGGTTAAAACTGTTTAAATTTATAGGTCAAAACTATTTACATGTGCACATTTTCAGAGTCAACCTGTCCTTGTGTTAGAGATGATACCAGTAGAAAACTTTATTTCCTGGCAGAGTTTATGATTGTTCTCTGAATCGTGGCCTTTTGGCAAGGGACAGGACAAGGGAGAATGGTTTTAAACTGCCAGAGGGGAGATTGATATGAGCTCTTAAGCAGAAGTTCTTCCCTGTGAGGGTGCTGAGGCCCTGGCACAGGATGCCCGGTGAAGCTGTGGCTGCCCCATCCCTGGCAGTGCTGAAGGCCGGATTGGATTGGGATTGGAGCAACCTGTTTGAGTGAAAGGTGTCCCTGTCCATGGCAGGGGGTTGGAGCTGGAGGAACTTTAAGGTCCCTTCCAACCCCAACTAGCCTGTGATTATCAGAAACATGATTTTGCTGGTGTTGATGTACCAACCTATGTACCTGTCCTGGGTTTAGCAGTAGCAGTCAATTTTTCTCCTTCTTGGTAAGCTGGTGCAGCATTGTGTTTTGACTTTCAGCCTGGGAACAGTGGCGATAACACCGATGTTTTTAATTGTTGCTAAGTAATGTTTACCCTGACCAAGGACTTTGTGAGGCTCATGCTCTGCTAGGGAGGAGGGGAAGCCAGGAGGAAGCAGAGACAGGACACCTGACCCAAGCTGGCCAGGGAGGTATTCCATACCACAGCATGTCATGCCCGGGGTGAGGGGTAGCTGGGAGTTACCTGGAAGGACATGGGGTCTTCGGGGTCAGACTCATTTTTCGGCAGGTGGTATTGTGTTCTCTTCCCTTGTTATTTTCTATTGTCATTGTTGTTGGTGGTGGTAGCGGTGGTGATTTGTGTTGTACATTGGTTGCTGGACTGTTCTTGTCCCAACCCGTGGGAGTTGCATTCTTTCAATTCTCCTCACCATACCTCCGGGAGTGAGGAAGGGGGGGGAGGGGGAAGGAAAGAAAGAGGGAGGAAAAGGGAGGGGAATGAGTGAACGGGCTATCTGGCTGGGTTTAAACCATGACAGTTCTTTTTGGTGCCCAAAATGGGGCACGAAGGGTTGAGATAACGACAGATCTGTCCGGATTAATAGTCACTCGTCACAATGCTGATTTATTGGCTCTCAAAGCTGTTCCTCTTGATCTCACAGTTTCAGTATGTCATACCTTAGTTCAAGCCGGTATTTGCTGTATTAGTGTTTTTCAAGTGTGGGGCTTGGGCTAAGGTTCTTGTCTCATTGTACTTTATGGTAATGACTTGTAATACAATAGAATCATTGATCGTGAAACTGATCTGGCTTATGTTCCCAGTGTGGTCACCACCTTTATACTTTGGGAAGTATATAATAGAAGTGCTTAGCAATTACGCATCTTTTTTCTCCTTCTCGCGTGGTCAGCCTGTGAAAGAGACATTCTTTTACCCTCTCAGTCCAGTTCTTTTTTTAAAAGAACTGTCGTGGTTTAAACCCAGCCAGACAGCTCATTCACTCACTCCCCCCCCCTTTTCCTCCCTCTTTCTTTCCTTCCCCCCCCTTCCCTGCTCCTGGAAGGATGGGGAGGAGAATCGAAAGAATGCAACTCCCACGGGTTGAGACAAGAGCAGTCCAGCAACCAATGTACAACACAAATCACCACCGCTACCACCAACGACAACAACGATAAGAGAAAATAACAAGGGAAGAGAATATGATACCACCCGCCGAAAAATGAGTCTGACCCCGAAAACCCCGTGTCCTTCCAGGTAACTCCCAGCTACCCCTCACCCCGGGCATGACATGCTGTGGTATGGAATACCTCCCTGGCCAGCTTGGGTCAGGTGTCCTGTCTCTGCTTCCTCCCGGCTTCCCCTCCTCCCTAGCAGAGCATGAGCCTCACAAAGTCCTTGGTCAGGGTAAACATTACTTAGCAACAACTAAAAACATCGGTGTTATTGGCACTGTTCCCAGGCTGAAAGTCAAAACACAACACTACACCAGCTACCAAGAAGAAGATTTGACTGCTACTGCTAAACCCAGGACAATACCACTGCTGGTTGGACAGGCAGCTCATATGTGCCAACCCTGCTGCCAACCCTCAGCTCCCCTGGCAGGTCCCACAGTGCAAATCAGAACAGTGTTAAACTCAGAACTCAGGATATACTTAGTTTTCATCTATTGCCAGCAGCTCTGCAGACATGCTGTTGACAGCAGCCTGCCCAAAAGCGGTGCTCTGTCAGCAGTGTGTCCCTGCCTATTAATGTTGCATGTGCTGGCATCTTTGTGATTTCAGGTGGATACTGCTTAGCACAGTGACAGTTACTAGCCACATTATATTATCTACATGGTTGAAATTTCCAGCCTTTATTTCCTTATGTGGTATGTTTCTGGGATAAGCTTTAAGAGGATGTGGTAAAGATCTGTCATGGGACTGGTAATTAGATAACTGCAGGTCTGTAAGATGAGTCAAAGCAGCTCGTCTGGAAGAGAATTAACATGAATAACTTGTTTAACTTCTCCTTATCTTGGTTTCTGTATATCTTCTGTTACTTTTCTAAGGCTGTTTCTAAATGTTTGCAAAGCAATCAGAGATTCTTTGAAGGAAACCATTGCAGGCATGCAAATTATTGCTGTGCTTTTAGAAAATTAAGTGAAATTAAATTTTTTTTTTGGTATGGTACATGCATACATATGCTGTTTCTCAGATTAAAAGCCCTTCTGCCCACCCCTCCAGTCAGAGTCCTGGGAGCTTACCACCACTCAGTAGCCTTGAGCTTTCTTCTGTTTTCTTTGCAGGTGAGAAGGATGTCTTTGTATGCATGCCCACAGGGGCAGGGAAATCATTGTGCTACCAACTTCCTGCAGTTCTGGCAGTGGGCATCACCATTGTCATTTCACCTCTGATTGCACTGATTCAGGTAACTGTCTCCTGTTAGCTGCAGAAAAATGCCAGTGAATGGGGTCGGGAGACTGGAGGCACAGCTACCTCTTGTCTTTCTGTCCACGAGTCTCTGCTGTAGGCCTTCCTCCAGATTCTCTTGATGTCTTGAAATATCTCTTGATGTTTCCTTACCCTGGTGATAGGTGAAGAGACTGCAACTTAGCTGCAGAGCAGAGTAACTCTGGTATGATAATATGCAATTTTCTAAATGGATGTTTCTCTTCTTTAATAATCTAGTAGTTTTTATAACTGAGGCTTTCTTCATTTTCTCCAGTTGTCTTTTACCTCTGCTGTGCTATACAGAAGCAGCAGAGTACCTCAAACTGACCAAACTGGATCTTTCCCCAGAAGAGAACTGCTGTTTTACTTATAAAGTAAAAACTCCAGGAATGATGAAGTTGCCTTTGAAGGCACAATTTATTCTTCACCAAAATGTCTTTCTGTTGCAGACAGTCTTTCTGTTGTGGGAAGAAGCTGGTTTAGCAGAGCTGCTCCTTGAGCGCTCACATCTGTGGATCTTTTTTAACCTGTATTTTACCTTTTCTACTTTTTCATCACCTGTTGGGAGACACACTTCCCTATAATAGCAGCTGTAGCATTGCTTAGACTTCTGTAAAGCATCTGTTAGCATTGCATGATAACCTGGTGTGGTGGGCTGCTGGTCTGTGTTTTGTGGATTTTTTTTTTTTTTAACTCCTTTGCAGTCTCAATGTGCATTAGCACATTAAAAGCAGGCTTAGAGATACATCTCAGAAGGTGTTATAAATAGTGAATTTCCTCCAAGTGTGAGGATTTCTGATTAAACTCTAGCACAGGCAATATTTTATTAGTGAAATGGAGGTTAAAAGAATTGCTGTTGGTAAGATTTGCAGGTGAAGCCAAATGTGTCACAGTGATAAACAGGTTGAGATGAGCACAGTGAGTTATGGAACAGAGCTGGATGAACCTTCAGAGGTCTTCTCATCAAGATAGGGTGGCTATGCCTGAAATGATGATGATATATTTCAGTGTAGCCAGACTTCAAGAGCTTAGTCTGGGAAGTTCATATTAGCCTGAGAGCTGACTTTGTGAACAGTGTATGTGAAATCGATCACTGAAACCAGTTATTGAGTGAAATAATAAGGTCCCTGTTTTTCAGGACTATTCATATGTTCTGAAATGTTATGTGCTGGTCAAGTGTGAGTAAACAGCTTAGTGTAGGGATGAGGAGGTGAATTTGTATGCCCAGTGTTTCGATGTGATGCCGTGTTTTCTTACTGTTTTTCCTGGCATGATTCTCATCAGCAAACTTGGTTCTGTTGCAGTGATTTGTGTGATCCTTGTATTTTGTCCTATCTCAGCTGTTTTTATGACATCCTGTTGTTACTTTGGTGTGAAATGCACTCTGTTATTGTAGGGTGGTCACATTCATTTTCCACCTCCGACAACTTGTTTGTACTGGTAGCTTGTTTCAGCATGCTTCGGGTTGTAATGAGTTATTTTGCATAGATCCCTCCTGGTGTTCCCTAACAGCAAAAAGGCTGTCTTAAAGGGAATGGAGGCACAAAACTGCAGTTGGATGGATATGCTCACAGCTGCAGATAAAGGCATCTAGAGTTAAAGTTATAAATACCCAGACTGTAGGTGTATGTTGTCGTGAGACTTGATCCTGGAGGTGAAAGCTGGGACCTCACCTGGGTGTCCATGGTAGTCTTTCTTGTGCTGATGACTCTTTATTTCCATTTGCTTTTAATTTAATTTTCATTTTATATTTACTCTAGGATCAAGTGGATCACCTGCTGGCTCTGAAGATCAAAGCCTGCTCTCTGAACTCCAAGCTTTCTGCCCAGGAAAAGAAGACCATCCTGGCTGACTTAACAAGTGAGAAGCCTCAAGTAAAGCTCCTGTACATCACCCCAGAGATGGCAGCTGCCTCCTCCTTCCAACCTACACTGAACTCTCTGGTGTCCCGAAAGCTCTTGTCCTACTTGGTAATTGACGAAGCACACTGCGTTTCCCAGTGGGGACATAATTTCCGACCTGACTACCTCCGTCTGGGCACCTTGCGCACTCGCATACCCAATACGCCATGTGTTGCCTTGACAGCTACTGCCACCAAGCAGGTCCAGGAGGACATTGTGGCAGTGCTCAAGCTAAAGCAGCCACTTTCCACATTTAAGACCCCTTGCTTCAGATCTAACTTGTTCTATGATGTGCAGTTCAAAGAGCTCTTGACCGATCCGTACGCCAACTTGAAGGATTTCTGTCTGAAGGCACTTGAAGTGACAAACACCACTGGGGTAGGTTTTACATTTAAGGAAGAAGGCTAAACTGAAAAAACCTACCTTAATAGTCACTGACCTTGGTACGGCCCTGGCAGGTCTGTGGCAGGGGAGGAGGAGGTCCCTGGAAGGAGGGTGCCCATGTGTATGTTCTGGTTTCTCTAAAAGTGGTCACATATGGTTTTTAGTTCCTCTAAGATAACTAGAATGTGAAGGCTGCGTTCCTTTCAGAGGTGTCCTCAGAAAGGGGTTGCTCTACAAGAAAGTAGATTAGGAATATGCAGCAAGCATTTGTCTTGATTTGTTGTGACCCAGGCAATTATTGTATGTTTGTGTTCTGCTCGTCTACTATGGTGAGTGTGCTGGGTTCAGCAGTAGCAGTCATTTTTCTCCTTCGTGGTAGCTGGTGCAGTGTTGTGTTTTGGCTTCCAGCCTGGGAACAGTGCTGGTGATACCGATGTTTTCGGTTGTTGCTAAGTGGTGTTTACCCTGACCAAGGACTTTGTGAGGCTCATGCTCTGCCAGGGAGGGGGGGAAGCCGGGAGGAAGCAGGGACGGGGCGCCTGGCCCGGGCTGGCCAGGGAGGTATTCCATACCACAGCACGTCATGCCCGGGATGAGGGGTAGCTGGGAGTTACCCGGAAGGACACGGGCTTCTGGGTCGTACTCGTTTATTGGCCGGTGGTATTGTATTCTCTTCCCTTGTTATTTTTTATTGTCATTGTTGTCGGTGGTGGTGATTTGTATTGTACATTGGTTGCTGGACTGTTCTTGTCTCAACCCGTGGGAGTTGCACTCTTTTGATCCCCCTCCCTGTTCCTCTGGGAGCGGGGAAGGGGAGAGCCCCGGGGCGGGGGGGGGGGGCTTGATTTCTCTCAGCCCAGCACCACTCACTGGGAGTGAGTGAACAAGCTGTCTGGCTAGGGTTTAAACCACGACAGTTCTTTTGGCACCCAACGTAGGGCTCGAGGGTTTGATATAACAACAGATCTGTCCAGATTAATAGTCACTCGTCACAATTCTGATTTATTGGCTCTCAAGGTTGTTCCTCTTGATCTCACAGTTTCAGTATATCGTATCTTACTTCGCCGGTATTTGCTGTATTAGTGTTTTTCAAGTGTGGGGCTTGGGCTAAGGTTCTTGAGTCATTGTACTTTATGGTAATGACTTGTAATACAATAGAATCATTGATCATGAAACTGATCTGGCTTATGTTCCCAGTGTGGTCACCACCTTTATACTTTGGGAGGTATGTAATAGAAGTGCTTAGCAATTACACATCTTTTTTCTCCTTCTCAGGAGCTCAACCTGTGAAGGAGACATTCTTTTACCCTCCCAGTCCTCCCCCCAGACCATTTACATTTGAGAGTTTTGAAGTTTTTGAATGGCCTTTTAATGCTGTTGAGACTTGTTTGCTGATCGTGATGGGGATCACCATGCTAGCAAGCGTACAGAGTGTGTTTTGCCCACGACTGATTTCAAGAATTAAGCAGAGTCAGGTTTGGGTCTTGTCTGGGGTCAAACGTCAATGTAGGAGGACCAAGAGATTTTCCCTGAGGCTGGACAGCCATGAGTGGCAGGGTGTGTGGGATAGTATGGGCAAGTATCTAGGTCAGTGGGCCCCTCCAGTACTTTGGAATTTCACCACCAAACAACTGCAAAATCCAGAAGAATTAGTAAAACACTTAAATGAGGTGTGTGGTCATTCTGGCCATACCAGAGATGGACAAATCATGGCAACGTGCTGGGGCTTGGCCTATGCTTACAGGGCCTTGTTCAACACTATCCAGCACCTTCAAAAGGAAAAGAATGTCAGTGGATCTGAGGGCAAAGCAGCAGTCAGCGCAGCTACTCCAGCTCCAAGCACAGCAGCTTCACCACCCCCAGTGACAAGTACAGTCGCTACTCAAACTTTGGCTGCAATGAACAGCACAGCTACCCCAGTGGCAAGTACAGCAGCTGCTCAAACTTCGACTGCAACAGACAGCGCAGTTACCCCAGCTCCAAGCACAGCAGCTACACCACCCCCAGCAACAAGTACAGTCGCTACTCAAACCACAGTGATAATCACTGCAGCCAAACCAGAGGACCAATTCATACAAATATCGGTTACCCCTGTACGCAAGAGAAAAAGCAAAAAAGAGGCAAGAAGGGTGAAGCAAGATGAAAAAACAATGTGTTCACCACCAGGTCTAGCATCTGATCAGGAGTCATCATCACATGATGAAGAAGAAGAAGAAGAGGTAACTTCTCGACCTCGAACCTCAACCGAGCTACGAAATATGCGAAAAGATTTTACCTGTCAACCAGGGGAGCACATCATCACCTGGTTACTCTGATGCTGGGACAATGGGGCCGATGGTCACGAACTAGAAGGTACAGAAGCCAAGCAGCTGGGATCACTTGCTAGAGAAGGGGGAATTGACAAAGCAATTGCAAGAGAGAAAAAGTCCCTCAGTCTTTGGAGGCGGCTCTTGGCAGCTGTGAAAGAAAGGTTTCCGTACAAGGACGATGTTACGAGTCATTCGGCCAAGTGGACTACTATAGACAAAAGCATCCAGTCTCTGAGGGAATCAGCCATCGTAGAAATGATCTATCACATCAAGCCAAATAACGGGGATACACCCATAGATCCAGATGAAGTTGAATGTACACGACCCATATGGCGAAAACTTACACGGAATGCACCATCATCATATGCCCATTCATTGGCAACAGTAACCTGGAATGACAGTACCAGTA